TCTGACAGCCATAGAGTCCAGGCTGGGGGGCAGGGGCACAAGCAAGGCATCCTGTCATGTATCCCCTGCCCTCATTTTGTTTTTCTGGCATGCCGGCACTCTGGCACCTTCCAAGGTAGGCATTGTGGGGTTTTTTGGCACTCTGGACAAAACACGATACCTACCCCTGGTATAGCAATTTTATACTATTGCCTATGCCAGGGGTGAGCAAAATACAGCCCACTAAATTATTCTATCCAGCTTGTGGTAGCTTCTCTGAAGGAGAATTGTATCCGGCCCACAGCTGCCCTGGCTTCTGGTACCTGTCTCCCTTCCCCGTGATGTAGCTGATTGCAGCAGCAGCAGCCACTTCCCTCCCCAGCCCAGCCCACAGTGTCCCACCCCCAGCTCCCAGTGTACGTTTCAAGGTAGGGGGAACTGAGCTCCTGGCCAGGCTTCTGCCAAGCAAGATTGTCTGTGCACAGCTCCAACCCTATGGCAACTCGTAGACCAGACACCCCGGCCCCTGGTGAGTTACTCAGGTAAGGTTCTCCCTGCTGGCAAGGGAGGGAGCGCAAAGGAAAGAGCCAGGAGCCACGGGTTATCTGGGGTCTGCCAGGCCGTGGCCTGGTATGGGCACAGGCACTGCTAAGGCAGAGCAATGCTGTGTTCCTGTACGCCACTTCAGTCTGCGCCACAAGGACACAGCTGGAGCAGCTGGCACAGCTGCTGCCTGACCTTGGTGCAACTCTTGCCCGACCCCAAGTCCCCAGCACACAGCCAGGTTGGACAAGAGCCATGCCAGCTGCACCCACGTGGCCCAAAGCAGCATGCAGGAACACAGTGCAACACCAGCCCAGCCCAGCCACGAGCTGGGAACTTGGGGTGGGGGAGGAGTACAGAGAGAAGAGCCTGAGAGCCATAAGTTATCTGGACCTGGCTGAGCAGTGTCACACTGTGCTCTCCCTTTCTCCCTACACCCCTCCCTAAATCCCCAGCACAGCTGAGTCAGGTAGGAGCCGCTCTAGCTGCACCCATAAAGCCCAAGGAGGTGCATAGGAACACAGTGCAGCACGGGCCTGGCCTGGCCACATGCCAAAGACTTAGGGTGGGGAAGGGGGTTCAAGGAGAATGGTTAGGTTCCCTTAACCCAGGGGTGGATAATTATTTGCAAAGCACTCTAAGTTGCCCTCCAGCCCAAATAATTGCTCACTCCTGGCCTATGCAGTATAAAGCCAACATATGTAAAAAGCTTTCATGTATGCATTATTTCCAAGTTATTACAGAAGTTTATATTTAAAAGTGGTTATTATTTACATTAGAACAGTACTACCTGATGTCACTACTAGACTAGAGGTGTAATCAAACCAAATGAAACATCTCATTTTCAGCTGTCTGTGTGTTATCGCAGTTTCCCACATTATGTTAAAACTTGGTATTGAAAGCTCTGATAAAATGCTTACATAGGCACATGATATTAATCAAATGAATTACTGTACTGAAGCAAACAGGACCATTCATATAGGTAGTTTAGCATTTGTGTTTAAAGAACCAGGAAACAAATTATGAGATGCAAGGCATATTTTAATTCTTAATGTTAATATAAATCAACTTATCTTTGTTTTTAAAGCTAAAAGTATTCAAAACAAAATTATTTTGCTTAACTTTTTTTATTTTTTTATCCCACTGAACTTAGAACCTTGATCATATAACTCTGTACACATTGCCCTTTTCTTTCAGTTCTCAAAATGAATATATTATTTCCAATGGAAAACACAGTCTGTGCAAAAAAAAGTGCAAGTTGGCAATATTTTATTTACCTATTGAATGAAACTGACATAGTGACACTATGGCATGATAGTCAATTCTGCAGTAGTTACTCTGGCAAAACTCCCATCGACTTCCATGACAGTTCTGTAGGTGCTACTCCTGCACTATCGGGGTCAAAAGTTCCAACGATATTGAAAACAGAACTTAAGAGAATATATCTTCCAATGTAACTTTATTGGCAGTGCATCCAATGCAGAGGAAACTGTACCTTGTAGCGGACTCAAGCAACACAGGGATCCAAACTAAAAAACACACTTCACACAATACTTAAACAGATATAATGCAGAAAGGCTACAACCTTAACCCTCACATGTGGAAGCAAGCCAAGAGTACTCGAACAAGGAATGATCATCATATTATGAGCTAACTTCTTAGTTCAGCTACCATGCTGGATTTAAAATCAAGAGAAACAATCCAGTATTTAAATATGTTTTATATTTACATTTTTTCTTCTTAAAAATAACTAGTAGTGCACCAATTTCGGGGCTGATACGGATACCCAATTTTTTAAGAAGGCATATCAGCGGATACCAATCCTATTTCCGATACAGCGTGGACAGCTGCCTCCAGCTGGAAAGTCCAATGTGGTGGAAGAGGAGAGTGAGATAAAAGCTTGCGGTGAAGGAGGAGGCAGGGGGCACCAAGGGCTGGGCTCAGATCGGGGGCTACAGAGGCGAGTGCAGCCACCCCAAATTTCGCCATAGCTCCCTCTCAGTGGCGCTGCTGCCAAGCACCCAGCACAGCCCCGGCTCAACGTCCCGCCTCCACCCACGCTCTGGGAAGAGCCAGGGCTGCGTCAGGCACACAATGGCAGTGGTACTGGGAGGGAGCCATGCTGAAATCTGGGGTGACTGCAGCCCCCTCCACAGCCCCCAGCCAGAAGAGCCCAGAGCAACCCCGGCTCCAGCCCACAGCTGCAGCCCCCCCTGCCCAGATCCAGGGGCGCACATCCCCCACCCCCCTCTCCTGAGTACAAATAGCAGCGGGAGCTGCCCCCACTGACAGGTCATGGCTCCATCCTGCGCCCCACTTGGGCAGCACCTGCCCCTGCCCCAACCCACCACAGGAAGGTGGTTGATCTGCCCCCCAATGCTCCTTCCCTCCCCGCTCCACTTCCACTACAAAGGACTTACCAGCTAGAGGCAGCTCTCCACACTACCAGGCTGTGCTCCTCACTACCCGAGTGCTGCACTGTGGCTGTGCACATGCACTGACATTTATCAGCCAAATTAATCAGCCGCATCAGGCCCATTTCCAATACGGACAAATTTCTTTACATCGGTACCAACCCGGTATCGCACCTCTAAAAATAACCTATTTAAAATTCAATTCAAAATTATGTCAACCTGTATTAAGGTCAAAACTTGAATGTATTTAAATAATGTAAAAAACAAAACAAAACAGTCAAGGAGTACATGCACTGCCAATTTTTTAAAGAAAATTAAACCATTGAACTTAGGGAAGCCAAGAGGTTGGCATCTGAAACCAGTGTTTGTTAAAGTGATAAAGTGGTTATGACAGCTGTAGCCTCTTCTGCAGTTGTAAGGAGGATATTTTCTTTATTTCATTCAGTTAAGTTCAGTACAATGACTAAGCTCATTCAACCTTGAGAAATTTATTAGGACTTGAAAAAGCAGGGAAGTCATTTCCCTTCTCAAATGTATGAATACAAACAAGGTGTGAGAAGATGAGATTAACTAGTTCTAAAATTTTGAAAGACCATGACAAGCCAACCAGTTCAATTAACTAACTACAGATAATGCTTCCTTTTACTTTATCTAATAAACAAGTTAATAATAAAATATGCTTTGATACACTTCTTTGTGTATCCTGTACATAATACGGCTTTATCTGCTAGAAACAATTTTAAAATGCTCATTTTTTTAAATTAAATTAATTCTAATTTATAGTAGAGGTGCACTGATATATCAGTGGTATACTGGATCAGCACCAATAAAAGGAAAATTAACATAATCGACCATTGGCTTTTTTTGGCCAGTGTAGCTGATAACATCACT